AGCAATAATAAGTATGTACAACCAATAAATTATGAATCCTGATAAATTAATTACGACTAACTATCTCAATTTTTTGCATAATTATTCGACGGGGCAACAGAAATGCTTATAAATGAAATTTTTATTTATTTTTGATTCAATGTTTTTCATTCAATTTGATAAAAGTTAAGGATTTTACATTTTAGTTTTTCAATACGAATTTGTATTTTCAATGATCTAAAAATTTTATCTCACTCGAGCAGGAGTTTGGATTCATTTGGGTTGAAATTTTGTATTACAAGATTGCCTCTTTAAGCCTTATTGAAAGATACAAATCGGCAATCTGTTTCAGCTTGGTCCATCAATGTTTGTGATAAAATCGGTGGTTAAAATCGACGTTAATCATTTTACTTTAAATTTTGGTTACAAAAAAAGAAAATTTAGGTTACCAATCAACCTCTCGTAGAGTAATGAACCTAGATAAGATGAAGGCTACTAAAATAGTAGCGATAACAAAACAAGCGGCAAAGATGTAAAATGTTTCTTCGTCAAATACGTCCACAAAATAAGGCATATTGGCTTCGAGTTTACGAAAAATTTCCAGCACAGCTTGATATGATCTACCAGCCATCTCAACTATAATACGACTAATTTCACGAATTCAAAACTTTAAATTTCAGATTTAGCAAGTTCAGCTTCTACTTTGGCCAATTGATCATTAAGATGATACAAAATATCGATCGTTCGCAGTAATCCTGTTTTGTAGATCAATTTTTTACCGTTTTCTGAAAAATTAATAGAGATAGATTAGATTTTATAGTTGCTAGGGGAAATAGTCAACTCATCAAGTTATACTCACTTAAGAAAAATTGTATTTCAGGTTCATTTCCATTACTAACAACATTTGTTTTGATGAAACATTCCTCGTTGGTTCTACCAATTTTTTTCCCGTGTAAAAAATGAAGCAACTCTCTGTAAAATCAAGAAAAGAGTAAAAGGCGAATTAAGTATTAGATCAGGAAATGTAAGAAAGTGTTTAGGTAGATCAATTAACAGTAATAAATGGCTAGGATCTATTAGCGTATATTGGGGTAAGGTGATTGGAGAAATTATAATTACCTAAAAGAAGCAATATTAGGGTAGAAGGGATCAAATGTTGCTTGAACTTTCACAATCCTTTTAAGAGTAAGTTTTCTTGCGTTAGTGTATAGATCACCAAGAATAGGATCTCGACCTTTTCGTGGTAAAGTTAAAGCGTTTTTAGACACAAAATTATCAAAGAAGATTTTCTTTCCTGCCATCACTGAATGAGTGGATGTTGGATGAAGAAGAGAAAAGAGTAACAATTAAATTTGATGAAAGACAGCTGACAAATGAACTTGAATGTGTCTGAGATGGAGTCAAATTGTTGAAATACAGTTCTTTAAGGTGTGTACTCATCTGAGAATGA